ACAGTTATCATCAAAACAAAGAGTTATTATTAAGAACCAATCTGTGTTCTAACAGTGTCCACCTGACCTCTGGTAAAGTTATTTTCTAAAAGAAAAGAACTTAGTCTTTCATACCAAGCTCTTGGAGCTTGTTCAGACCATATAAAGATTTTTTTTAATTTAAAAATATGTTCTAAAAACTTGATGTTTTCAAAACCTGGAAGTTGATGAACATATACTTCTTCTGAAATGTATCCATTTAGAAACGCACTTTTGACATCCATTTGATATAAAATAATACCATGATTAACAATAAAAGAAATTAAAAGACGAATTAATTCTAACCTTGCGGCTGAAGCAAATGCTTCATTATAGTCAATACCTTCTTGTTGATTGTAACCTTGTGCAACCAGTCGTACTTTGTTTATGACAACTTCTCCTTTCTCATTTAGTTTATTTTTGAATACCCACTTGGTTCCAATAACATGAGTTTCTTTTGGCTTGGGTACTAGATCCCAGACGTCATTTTTGGAGAATTAATTCAGCTCTTCTTGCATTGCCAGAATCCACTCATTATCCTAAAGTGCTTCATCATAAGATGTTGGTTCTATCAAAAACACCAACCCCAAAAGCAGTTCCTTAGTTTGTTTGAAGGTGGATCTTGTTCTGACAGGTTCAAATTTATCTCCTAGAATCAAGTTTTCAGAGACAGTTTGCCTATTTCTTTGCCTTTTTTGAGTTGGAGGACACTCAGTTGTTTCTGAAGTATTTATATTCGCATTCTTTGAATCTTTATCTTCAGAATCGTTTGCCTTATCTCCTGAACCTGCAAGTGTTATTTCTAAATCTGCAAAATTTTCAATTAGCTTTGACTTTTCTAAGTCAAGCTTATCGTCAAAATGAACATGAATTGATTCTTCCACAATGCGTGTTTCTGTATTAAATACTTTGTAGCCTTTACAACGTTCAAAATATCCTAACACAATACATTTTTGTGCTTTAGAATCAAACTTGTTCAGATTCTCTTTAGTGTTCAGAATAAAACATGAGCATCCAAAAGGATGGAAATAAGAAATGTTGAGTTTTCTTACCTTACACAATTCATAAGGAGTCTTTTACAGAATAGGTCTAGAGATTCTATTCTGAATGTAACATGTTGTGTTCACAGCTTCTGGCCAAAAGTGTTTAGCCACATTTAATTCATTGATCATGGTTCTGGCCATTTCTTGCAACATCATATTCTTCCTCTCTACAACTCTGTTCTGCTGTGGAGTTCTACGGCAGGAGAAATCATGTGATATGCTATTAGAGTTAAATAACTCTTCAAACAGGTGATTCTCAAACACACCACCATGATCACTTCTGACTCTAATAATCTTATAATCAAATTCATTTTTCACTTTATAACATAAATTGGTAAACATAGAGTGTGACTCATTCTTGTGCCTTAGGAATTTTACCTATGTTCATTGACTATAATCATCCACAATGAAAAGTCCATACTTCTTACCATTGACAGACGTTGTTTTCACAGGACCAAACAAGTCAATGTGTAGAAGCTCCAAAATTCTAGAGGTGGAAACAACATTCTTAGATTTAAAGGATGTTTTTGAGAACTTGCCCTTTTGACATGCTTCACAAAGAGCATCTGAAGTGAACTTCAACTTAGATAGACCTCTGACTAACTCAAGTTTGTTTAGCTGAGAAATTCTTCTCATACTAATGTGACACAAGCATATATGCCACACACACTGATCTTCATTAACAGACATTAAGCATTTAACATCTTGATTTTTAAGATTAGAAAGCTTAATCTTGTAAATGTTGTTTTTCCTCTTTCTAGTGAAGAGAACTGTGTCATCTTTTTGACTTACAACTTTACATGATTATTGATTAAAGATAATGACATAACTGTTATCAGTTAATTGACTTATGGATAACAAGTTATGCATTAAACCTTCAACAACAAGCACATTAGAAATAGAAGGAAGATATCTATTACCAACTGTTCCAGATCCTCTGATTTTTCCTTTCTGGTTTCATCCAAAACCTATGAATCATGCATCTTTAATTTCCAGACTTTAGAATATATGCATTCTTCTCGTCATGTGTCGTAAGCATCCAGAGTCCAGGTACCATGGCTAGTGTCGTAACTCTGCTGCAGAGCATATCTACAACATACACTATCTTATCTTTTGGTACCCATAATCTTTTGGGTCCTCTTTGATTAGCTTTCCTAGAGTTTATAATAACTTTTGATCTTCGTGCATTGTTAAATCTTTATGTCTGTGCAGGTGTGTAATGATAAGAAAAAGGAGATTTTGTTTTTTCTTCTTTAAGTGAAATCTGATCATCATCATAAGGATTATTACCAATTCCTCTCTTTCCATTATGACTAACACCATAAATCATGGAAGCCATTATGCTTCTATTTGTGCTATTGTTTAAGAATTTCTAAAATGCCTTATCATATTTTCATAATATGGTTTCAAAAGTTGGAGAAGCTTTAGAAAGAGTTTCTTCCAGTTTTAAACATTTTTTATTCAGAAAAGTATTTTCTTTTTCTAAGAAAAAATTGTCATCTTTTTGTTTAAAAACCTCTTTCTCTAGCTTAATGCAATCTTCAACTTCAGATTCATGAACCTTTTTTCAATTCTTTGAATTTGCATTGAAGTTTCTGATACCTATTCAGAGATTCAGATAAGCATAATTCTAAGTCAACACGAGAAAGTTCAGAAAATACCTCTTCTGAGTCAGACTCAGTTTCTGTTGTGTCTCCTGTAGATGCCATGAATGATAAGTTGGCATGTTCTTCTTCAGAATCAGATTCCGCTACTTCAAAGTCAAAATCATCCCATGTTGCCATGAGTCCTTTCTTCTTGCCTTTGAAAGCATCATTCTTGAAACTTTCTTTTCTATAACTTTCATTCTTTAGCTTTGGACACACATTTCTATAGTGTCCTGGCTCATTGCACTCATAACATGTTATCTATTTGCTTGATTTTCTTCTTGAAGATGAATCTGATCGATCACCTTTATTTCTAGATTTTTTGAAGTTGCTTTGTCTATTCTTCTAGATTTGTTAGAATCTTCTAGAAAGAAGGGACAATTCATCTTCATCATCAGAACCTTCTTCATCAGAATCCTCTATTTCTTCTTCCTCCGCTTGGAAGGCTTTAGTTTTCTCTAACTTCTTTCATTCTGATCTGGACCTTAGAGCGACAGATTTACCCTTTTTCTGAGGCTCATCTTCCTCTAGTTCTATTTCATGGCTTCTTAGCGAGCTGACCAACTCTTCCAAACTTATAGAGTTCAGATCCTTAGATAGTTTAAGAGTAGTAACCATTTGTCTCAATTTCTTTGGAAGACTTCTTACTATCTTTTTGACGTGATCAGTCGTGGAGTAAGCTTTGTCCAGAACCTTAAGTCTTGCAACTAAGGTTTGAAATCTTGAGAACATGATCTCAATGGTTTCATCATCTTCCATCTTAAAAGCTTCATATTTCTGGGGCAATGTCAGAGCTTTTGTTTTCTTAACATGAGTGTTACCTTCGTTTGTCATTCTCAAGGAATCAAAAATATCCTTCGTTGTATCTCTATTGGTGATTTTTTCATATTCGTTGTACGATATAGCATTTAGAAGGATGATTCTGGCTTTATGGTGATTTTTAAACTCATGTTTTTTTATCATCATTCATCCGATTTCTGAGAATGGGAATACCAATGACAGATACAAGTATTTCATAACCATTTGTGACAATATCTCAAAGATCTGCATCATAGTCTAGAAAGAAACTTTATATTCTATCTTTTCAATGGTCAAACTTTTCTCCATCAAAAACATGAGGCTTGACATTTTAGCTATCTCTTTCATTTGTGTTAGCAGCCATACATTTTTCTCACATTGGATCTCTCTACACGATTAAGTGTTTGACATACAAATCAATAACAGAGGCGGAACTCTGATACCAACTGAAGGTAGAGAAAAACTCAAGAAATGGGGGTTTGAATTAGGTTTATAACAAAACTTTGGTTATTGAAAACTTTGAACACAAAGGGTTAACAAGATAAAATGAACCAATAGACACAAATATTTTTATCTTGGTTCATTGTTAACAAAGTTACTCCAGTCCACCGCCAAAGTGATTTCGCCTTCAACAAGGACTAAATTCAATAATTTAGCTATATTACAACAAGTTCGTCTAAGTGTTTAGAAAAACACCTTAGCCCTCTCAAGTCTACAATCCGAGAATAATTACTCCCTCTGTTTCTTTATAAGTGTCGCTTTCTTAATTATTTTTTTATTCTTTTTTAATTATCACTTACAAAATTCAAGATAATATTAATTACACTTTTGTTACATCCATAGACATTTATTATAAAGAGAAAAAAAAAATATTAAACAATTAAGAATATTATCGATAAAATGAAAATTATTATTTGAAAAGTACCAAAATTAATTAGCTTTCGTGATATACCTAAAAAGTTAAAAAGTAATACTTTAAAAAGGAATGGAATGGGTATTAATTATTTTAATTACTTTTTGTTCACCTATCATATGCAAAAGTACAATATTACCGACATGATAAGAGCAAGGTTGGTCACTTGTTACGTGCACACTTTTCTGCTTCATTCCGTGTCAGATTCTCTCAAAGGACATCTTTCACTTTTTTCCTCGGAACAAAAGCTTCAACATAGCAAAGGTAACCACTAACAAGTAACAATCCTTCTTCAAATTCTATCTTATATTTTTTTTTTCCGAATAATTTTGCAATGATTATTTATACAAAAAATTTAGTTGATAGTAGCAAGATAATTGTCTCCTAGTTACTCTTTCAGTCTTTCTACTTGTATGATTGTTGATTCTTGTATCTAGCATGAAATTGGTTCTCTTCTGTTGGTTTGAATTCTGTTGTTCGATTATTCTTTGGTTGGGATGCAGCTTAAGCGTCGTTGATGAAAACAGCTGGGATTTTCACTGTTGGTGGAGCTAACTGATATTTTCTTAATCACTTTGAGCTATGGAATTCAGTAAATCCTTTTTGAAGCATAAAGTAACTAAGTCCTCACCTTCCCCTGCACTATGTTGTGTGGAGACAGTGCCTAAAGATGAACAAAATTCTCATATTACAGCTTTTAATTCAGGAGATGGATCCACCAATTTCTGTAATGAATCATCTTCATCAACTACCGTCCGCGATGTACATATAGTAAGAACCACTGCTAAAAATTTTATTGAAGGTGTGTCTGGTGTCTGACATGTGTTTGACACCAGACACACCGACTCGTTTGATTAGATTCAGATATTCTATTTTCTTAAGCTATTAATAGTTTTGACATGTCAGGGTTGTGTCCGTGTTTGTGTGGGTGATTCATAGGTTTTATTACAACTAGTGGACTATTCATGTCTATTATAAGCCTCTTAGAGGCCATGACTCTTGAAGATTATTTATGCTTAACAAGTATTTATGTTGTATTTTCTAGTCTATGCGGTTAATGGAGGATTTTCTTGATCTTGCTAAAGAAAATACAGAAAAGGATCTTGAAACATGCGGTATACTTGGTGCCTTTCTGGTAAGAATCATTTTAAAGCCCTAAAAATTGTTAAATCACGGTAGCAAACCGTGATTCTGCCAAATGTACCCTCAATCCAAACACGTTTTCAAATCTTTCTTAGGAGTATTTTATGGAAGAGAAACAAATAACTTGATCTGATAAAATGGTTTATAGAATTTGAAATTTATATGCAACAATATCTTTCAATTATCCAGGAGAAAGGAACCCTCTATATGACTACACTGATCATACCGAAGCAGGAATCAGCATCTAATTCTGTTAGTATCTGATTATTCAATCCTACATTCTTTTGGCTTTGTTTTGCATTATTTTAGCACATGTTTTCAAGAGGACGTGGTTTTATTACAGCATGTTGCTAACTTTCTGCGCGGTATTACAGTGTAATGCCACAAACGAGGAGGAAGTTTTCACAATTCTAAATGAAAGATCCCTTTATGCTGTGGGATGGATCCATGTATGACCTCTTATCTCTTTTTGCTATATTATGAAACTACATTTAGTCTTTTAGCGCAACAATCCAATAGAATTAGCAATATTGGTTCCTACTGGTTTTACTTATGTCTACTAACCTTAGCTTTTTTTCGAAACGTTTTTAGACGCACCCTTCTCAAAGTTGTTTCATGTCATCGGTGGATCTGCACACTCAATATTCCTACCAGGTAATTGATCCAAATATAACAGTTTCTGGTAAAAGCATTTCTTTGTTCCACTATCTAAACTGGCTTGTATATTGACTTTAAATGTATTCGAATTCTGTATATTTTTTCTCTGCAATCCAAATTTGAACTTACAGTTTGGTGTTATTTTTCTAGGCGATGATTCCGGAGGCATTTGCCATTGTATTGGCACCAACTGATACCTCAAGGTCTAATACTCGTCTTTCTTTTTAAAAATTATTCGTAGTAGTGGCATCTAATTTGCATAATGTTGCAAAAAATGGATCGGAATATACATTATTTTGAACAATATCTGCTTATATTTCCTCTAGATATAGAATGCTAGAGTACTTTTACTAACCTCTCTTGAACAAAAACTTTAGCCTTCACTTCGAGGACACAACAAATTTCTATGTTATTTTTCCAGGAGCTGTGGACTCTTTCGCATAACCGAACCTGATGGGATGGATATTCTAAAAAATTGTCCGGAGAGAGGATTTCATCCGCACAAAGAACCAGATAATGGAAATCCTGTGTATGAGCACTGCTCCAATGTGTACAAAAACTCCAATCTAAGGTTTGAAATATTTGATTTACGCTAAAATGACTCTGATTCTGCACATATTATTCCGCGAAGGATGTATATAATTATAATATAATTACAAGAAACATGTAATATTTACACCCAAAAATTCTGATATACAGTAATTGTAACAATTGGTTCAATGTAATAAGGTCAATAAAGATTTCTTTGATTTCTAGCTCTGCTTGCATCAGAATCTACTCATGAAATGCACTTCTAATCGCAGAAAGTTGACATTATTACTGTGAATAGTTATTGCATTTTCGAAACATGGAAATTGACGCAATACACAATCTAAACATTCAAGTGAGTAATGTTTCGGCTGCATGAATTTTAAATGAATATGCATATATGTACCGAGACTTTGAGTTACAGTACCCAGATTAGTCTTCTGCATTTTTGTGTTGATATTGATATGTCCAGCTTCTTCGGATGCTTCTGCAACTCCTTCATCTCATCCTCAAGCACGTTTAATATCATAGCTAGGTGACGTATATGGTGTTTCGCATCTGAGCCAGCGTGATATCGGCAAGTGTCATCATTCCTTTGTTGGAAATAAAATTTTTTGTGGTTAGGAAAAGTGTGTGAAAATGTTAGAGGCTTGAATAGAAATTTGATAGATATGAGAATTATTTAAGGCAGAGACAACTTTGTATTTTGCTTGATACAAAAGTGTAGAATTACATTTTTATTTATAATACTCTAAGAAGAACTTTAGACACAGTAATTCTAGAGAGTTCTCAACTTTAAAAATTTCAAGAGCATTCTAAAAAATATTACAACCCTAAGAAATATCTAGACACTCCAAACATTACAAGAGTTTTTTAGAAACATTAATTAAAATGACCTAAATCCAAAATAACTAATCCCAAAAATTCAAATAATATGTTTAGACTCAAATCAAGTTTAATCTGTTAACATCCCCCTTAAACTTGATTTGTGACTCCAAGCATACTCCTTAGCTTCACGAAAGTTTCCAACTTAAGTGGCTTGGTGAAAATGTCGGCAGCTTGATCTCGAGATGTCACACACTTCAACTTCACCTTGTACACCCTTCTTATTTCGATTTCTTTGTGACCTCGCGGAAGTGGAGTAAGTTACCACGTACCATTCTTCGTGATTGACTTGATTTTTTCGTCTAGGGCGTCTCTCCACTTTACGTTTTCAACCGCTTCTTGATAGGTTAGAGGGTCACAATTACCAAAAAAGACAAAAGAGGTTAATGTCGTTTTGGTTTTCGGTTACCTCATAAAGCTCTTCATGCTCCTTAGTCGTGGTGTCCTCTCACTTGAGCTTGTTTCATCCAACCTTAGTGTCGGTGAGGCAGGTGGTGTAATATGTTCCTCTATCATTGGTTGTTCCATTACTTTTTCATCTTCTTCAAAGTAAGAAAGAAAATCGTACTTGTCTTCTTGAACACTCAAATCTCAACAATCTTCTTCTTCGAACACCACGTTATGATAATTTTTTCACTATTTGGATTATAGAGTTTGCACCCTTTGGAGCTTGAGTCGTAACCCACGAATACGTACTTCCCACTTTTATCATCAAGCTTTGTTCTCCTTTCATCTGGAACGTGGGTATAGACAATGCTTCCAAACACTTTGAGGTGAGAGATCCCTGGTTTCCTTCTACTCCATACTTCAAGTGGTGTCTTCTCATGCACACTTCTTCTTAGAGAACAATTTGTCAGGTAACCCGCACATGCCACTGCTTCGGCCCAAAACTCTTTCGACATCTTCTTACTCTTAAGCATGTTTCGCACCATATTAAGTATGATTCAGTTCTTTCTCTCCGCTACTCCATTTTGTTGTGGCGATCTTGGCACTAGTGGGAGGCGGATTCCATGGTCTTCACAATATTTGTTGAACTCATTTGAAGTAAACTCTCCTCCTTGGTCAAATTTCATGGCCTTAATGGAAAGACCACTTTCTTTCTCCACAAGGGCTTTGAACTTCTTAAAATTTTCAAACACTTCTGACTTCTCCTTCAAGAAATAATCCCACATTTTTCTAGAATAATCATCAATAAAGAGGATAAAGTATTTACTCTTACCAAAAGAGTTTGGATTGATTGGTCCACAAACGTCGTTTTGTATGAGCTCTAGCGGTTTTGTCGCTCTTGACGTTGATTCCTTTGGAGAGTTTTTTCGAAATTGCTTCTCAATTAGACATCCTTCACATAGTTGGTCTGGGTGGTTTATCTTAGGCAAGCCTCTTACCATCTTCTTCTTTGAAAAATATTCTAGACTATCAAAGTTGAGGTGTCCAAATCGTAGATGCCATAGCCACGAAGAGTTGGTATAGCAAGCCTTGAGACACTTTGCCACATCATTTTGAATGTTCAAGAGAAACATTCTATTCTTTGACATAGGCACCTTAGCAATCAAGTTATGCCCACAATCTCTTAAGAAAAGACTATGCTTTTTCAAGTGGATGTCATAGTCTTTCTCTAATAATTGTTGCAGGCTCAAAATATTATTTTTCATGTTAGGAACATAGGAGACATTGGATATGAATTGATGTCTCTCATTCTTCAAGCGTATGAGAATTTTACCTTTGCCTTTGACCGACATCTTTGAGTCATCTCCAAATGAAAGATTGTCAGTTGTTGCTTCATTGATCTCTACGAACATGCTTCGATCGCCGCACATGTGGTTTCTTGCGCCGATTTCAAGGTACCACTTGTTTCTTTTCTCTTCAAATTAGTTTTGACACGAGAGTAGCAGAGTTTCTTCTTCTCTAACTTTTTCTTCTACAAAGTTAGCTTTCTCCACAACCTTCTTTGAGAATCTACATTCAGATGCATAATGGCGATCTTGTTGCAATTGAAGTACTTGATTTGTGACTTGTCGCACCTTGACCATGAATTTCAATTTCCACGACCTCTTGTTGCTTGTGGATTTCAACTTCTTTCTCCATTGTTGAAGTTGTTGGAGTAGTTGTTGTAACTACCTCTTCTTTCTCCTCCATGTCCTCGTCCACATCCACGTCCACGATCTTGGCCATGACCTCGTCCTCTTTGCCTCTTGTAATTCGCATAGTTTGCTTCCTTTGCGTTGAGTTGTAGTAGTTGCTTCGTAGTCTCCTTTTGTTTAGTTTTTCTCTTTTGTTTTTCTTCTTATGCTTGTAAGGAAACCATAAGTTGCTCAATAATCATGGTCTTTAAATCCTTGTTTTCTTCAATGTTGGTAACAATGAAGTCAAAACTTAGATTTAAAGTGCGAAGTATTTTCTCCATGACTTTCACCTTATTAACATCTTCACCATTTCTTTTAAGTTGATTGAGTACAGACAATACTTGAGAAAAATAATCAGAAATTGACTCAGATTCTTCCATAAATAAATGTTCAAACTCACCTCTAAGAGTTTGAAGACGAATCTTTTTCACCTGATTCACTCCTTTGTTGCAAGTTTGAAGCTTGTCCCATTCTTCTTTAGTCGTCGTTGCATTGGAAATCTTCTCAAATGTATCTTCATCCACTGATTGATAAATGAGGAAGAGAGCTTTATTGTCTCTCTTTTTTGACTCCTTCAATGTATCGTTAACACCTTGACTTAGTGAGGCTTCACCTTGCTCCTTGAAGCCTTTTTCAATGATATCCCACACATCTTGAGCTCCTAGTAACGCCTTCATCTTGATACTCCAATTGTCATAGTTGTTCTTTGTGAGCATTGCCATTTGAAAAGGGAAACCTCCATTCGCCATCTTTTGAGGACCTTCAAGCTCTGATGCCACTTTGTTGGAAATAAAGCCCTTTGTGTTTAGGGAAAGTGTGCGGAAATATCAGAGGCTTGAATAGAAACTTGATAGATAGGAGGATTATTTATGGAAGAGAGAACTTTGTATTTTGCTTGATATAACAGTGTAGAATTACATCTCTATTTATAGTACTCTCAGGAGAACTTTAGACACACTAAGTCTAGAGAGTTCTCGACTCTAGGAATTCCAAGAGCATTCTAGAAAATATTATAACCCTAAGAAATATCTAGACACTCCAAACATTACAAGAGTTTTCTAGAAACATTAACTAAAATTACCTAAGTCCAAAATAACAAAGTCCAAAAATTCAAATAATATGTTTAGACTCAAATCAAGTTTAATCTTTTAACATCCCCCCTTAAACTTGATTTATGACTCCAAGCATACTCCAAGCATATTAAGTATGGTCCGATTCTTTCTCTCCGCTACTCCATTTTGCTGTGGCGATCATGACACTATTAGTGGGCGGCGGATTCCATGATCTTCACAATATTTGTTGAACTCATTTGAAGTAAACTCTCCTCCTCGGTCAGATCTCATGCCCTTAATGGAAAGACCACTTTCTTTCTCCACAAGGGCTTTAAACTTCTTAAAGTTTTCAAACACTTCTGACTTCTCCTTCAAGAAATAAACCCACATTTTTCTGGAATAATCATCAATAAAGAGGAGAAAGTATTTACTCTTACCCTTTTTTTTAAATTGAAATCAAACCCAAATTCAATTACATTCAGCGCCCTCAAATCCATATGGTTTATGATAATGACCCTTCTGCCCTCCATAGAAGCGCACCCAGCGTTATTTTCCTGCAATAGCAACAGACTGAACAAACCGGTTGGCAGTTAGTTAAAACACAATGCAGAATGAAATGAAATGCGAAATGACCCTAATAATCTAAGGGTAAAATTTGGGGTATGACAATAAGCTCTAGCGGTTTTGTCGCTCTTGACGTTGATTCCTTTGGAGAGTTTTTTCGAAATTGCTTCTCAATTAGACATCCTTCACATAGTTAGTTTGGGTGGTTTGTATTAGGCAAGCCTCTTACCATCTCCTTCTTTGAAAAATATTCTAGACTTTCTTTAACCGTAATAGCGGTGAAAATACTTATGTCTTGCCACTTAGATTCAAAATGAATCTCCTTAGAAAATTGATTTTTCCTAACAAGGACTGAAGTTATTTTTTGTTGGTCGAGACTCAATATTTTGTATGACTTTTGTCTTGTTTGAGTTTACCTCTATGCTCTTCTTATGGATGAAAAAA